TGACTCAGAAATTTCCTTGATTGGCTTTTCATATTAATATTCATATAAATTAAAATAAAGCCTGATGACGATCTAATTGAAAATAATATTGTTTGATTGTGTTGTTGCAAAAGATTATGTTCAAATTATATTTACAACTTTAAACTACTTAATTACAAGTATGAGTAGACTTCTTCATTTTGTCCCAAATACTAACTTCAGGTTAGAACAATGCTTCGGTACTGTCCAATGATTCGTTCGTTGGTTGCCTTCAAAACGGCTGTACATCACTCAAGACAAGTTGCCAAAAGGTGATATAATTTGTTACGTTCGTCACTAGGTACTCTTGAAGTTATTACGAGTTCACCTTAGTCGATAAACGCGAACGAGACAATTATCAGCGTCCAGGTAGGCTACCTTGAATCCCAAACTGCAAAACAGAAATCTTGATAAGCGTAGAAAGTATATTCTACAACACTCAGCCAAAACAATGCAATCAAGCACACAACTCTAGTTTATTTATACATAATAGAAAAGTCCTTGGGACAGTCACGAAAATAACACACTAAAATACACAGCAGCCAATCACAGCCAGGGATTTTCCTGGTGGGAAATGAAATCTCAGCCCATGTTCGCAATGAAATCCGAAATAAGGCATTTATCCCGCGAGTTCTGGGGATCTAACATCCCCAACATAATTGTACGGTAAAAATGTCACCAATGTATTTACTTAATAAGCTTTCTTTTCAATCCCCCTTTTTTCTGGTTCTCTGAGATTTATCTCATAAATTGATGTTCATATATTTCTTTATTTCTTATCATGTTGAGCGATTATTCAATCACTTATTAATTATATTACCCTTAAATAACTTCTTTTATCTTGAATATAATTTCTGGTAACTATAACATTTGTTGTACTCTGTATTGTTACTTTACAGCATACAAATACACGTTGATTTTTCATACACTTTGTGTCCTATTCTTCTCATTATTATGATTTCGGTTAGGCTTTTAAAATTTATCTAAACTAAATTATCGTGAATATTTGTTAACAATTGTGATATTACGTTTTATGCGGTCGATACGAAACGATGGAATAGAATGAATGTATTTTATTCAGCTAACTTTTTTGTGCTTACTCTTTAAATATATTGAATGAAGAATGAATGTTAAAGTTGATGCAAATCAATAAAAGTGAACAAACAAAAAAAACAATAACAGTCTGTTAAGAGTTGAGTTGAGTTCAATTGCAAGTAACAGAAAATCTAAATTTATTAAACTAAATTACAAATAATTAATTGTAGTCAATGTGTGACTACATCCACCTTTATTGAAATTGATGCAAATATATTAGTAACAGTAATGAACTACTCTCCACATTGTTTATTCTCTGTAACTTGTCATAAAGAAATTAGAAAGTGTAACGAATAACAATAGCACTGAGTTTTGGTACTGAATGACTACAAATTCTAGAAAGAGAAACTGATGTATGACAGCGAGATTTGAAGATGTGCAGAATATCATGCTGCTAATTTGTAAGTCAGTTAATTGCTCAAACTTAGCAGTTCTTACAGAGAGCTAAAGAAACTATTATGTACAGTTTCATAGCAATCTTCCACAATTTAATTTGTAGTGATATGGTGATTTCGATTAGTTAACCCGTTACCCCTCATAAATCTTTGATGAAACATCGAGTTTAATGATGAGTCCCAATTAGGTCATTAGTTGATGTTCAGAAATGCAGTAGGTTTTCTAGTGGTTACTGAAAGGAGTCTATCATTTTTCAGAAAAAATCCGTAGATGTACCAGTTTTTTTCAAATGAGAACCACTAATTTCCGGCGTAATAATGCAAGTTAATCTGGACACACATTATTATACGTCAGTTGGATCGAACTCTTTGGCATAAAATTACACTGAATTTATGAACATATGACAGTCAAAAGTTTTTATTTAAAGACCTTGAATAAGTTCATTTCTTATCGATAAGCTGCATTCATTTTGAGCATTATGTTAAATTTTAGCAACATAAGTTATAATAAATTCCCAACCACTGAAGTGTCATGATATAATAGCACATACCTGTAGTGTAAATTCCTTGTCTATCGTGAATCAAGTGACATGGTGTTCAAAAGTCTGTTTTTGGTAGAGAATGAAATCATCAGAATGTTACATTATCATTAAAAACTGTCGATAAATAAACTAAGTTCCTCACAGTCAATAAGCATCTTGAAATCATTAGGCATTAGAATGAAATAGCCTTTTCGTATAGTGAGTACAGTTGATTGTAAGTTTCATCATATTTTATGATTGCGTAGTTTTCTTAAACTTTCAGCAAGCATAATTTGAGTTGTCTTTTCATGAATATTGTTGAACAGAACCATGTATCAGTTGTAACATTGTTATTATTTTATATAAATTTCAAATGTCACTTCTCGATTCTATACAATGAAGAAACATATTAACTAAGAAAATATGAACTGCAAAGAAAGCAAAATGAACCTGATATGCTTAAAACTATTACAAGTTCACCATACTCGGTAAACGGAATGAAGATCAACGATGCCTTTGACACGAAAGGCTATTCTAATCCGTTGTTCCAACCCCGGCTAACAAAAGCAAGAAGTCTTGCTAATGCCTGAAGAATGTATTCTACAGGCACCGAGAAAATTTGATGTTGCTAAACACATAACTCAAGCTTATTTATACAACGGTAGAAACGCCGTTGGGAGAGCCACAAAAATAGCATATTAAAATAATCCACCGACCAATGACAGGCAAGGATTTCCCGAGTGGGAAATTTAAACAGAAGGTCAAGTAAGCGTCTTTGGTGCAAAAATAATGAAATTCGAAATTTCAGAATAAAATTACAAAATTAGGATCTTTTTCACGTGAGTTCTTTGGATCTAAAGGCCTCAAATGAACTATGGACCATAGTGTCTGGATCTCTAAAATTTAATATATCAGTAAAACTGAATCTCAACTATTTGCGTTTCTCATTTATTGAATCAGTAGACAATAAAAAATTTCAAAAGTATTTGAGTTCATTTAACTTTTATTGGAACGTTTTTCAGAGAGATTTTTTAAATAATGGCCTCACATATCGTTACACAACTACTTAGATGTTTTTTTCATCCGTAATTTTCCCATCTTAGATCAATGACAACCTCATCTGTACCTTGAATTTGGGAATGTCTGCTACTTTTACATCTGTTTACGTTCCGACTTGTTGTCAACTGATAAAATACAACAGCTGATCTGTTAGCTTGAAGCTATAATGAGTCATACAACTATAGAGTAAGTGTATTGCTTATTTGTAGCTCTTCAGGTGGAGGAATGGCCATTAAAAACGGTTTTCATGAAATCGAATTCATTTATTACCATTCAAACAAACATAAGTTATGCATCATACTATAAATTACAAAGTTAGTGCATATAAATATTCATAAATATTTGAACAAACAGCTTGAGAGAAATTGGGCGTCCATGATATTATTTAAAACACAATCTTTACAAAGTTAACAATTGTGAATATGTTCAGGATCTGATGCTTCTTCAGTCAAAACATACTTGTGATGTTATCTTTTGTTTAACATGCTTTTTCACTTATCTTTTAGCCATTAGACATTAAATTTCTAAACGAACCTTTTATTTGTAAATCATAAATTAGTAAGATATTATGGTGACTGATCGTAAATTTTAACTTGTCAGCAATACAATGGGTGGAATAAATTTCACTTATTGATTTATCGACAAAGCCCTAAAACTTACTTCACGTAGAGTTTTGAGGTTTTGTTCACATTTGGAAAAAAACTTCTATTGAAGAATTTCTAGATTTGAAATGCTACTTCATGTTATTCTCCATTTATATGTATACCTTCATATAATCATAACATTCAATTTACAAAATATTTGTTCAGCCACCACAGAGATTTATCATTGAATATTATCATTTTAAAATCTAGAAATTATTTCATCTAATTTTTCTTCGATTGATCTATGCACCAAATAGTTATTCATTTAATTATACAAAAAAGGGATGAAGTTCACATTCGTGATTCGTGTTCTTTCAGTTGTTTTCGTGTTTAATTCTTATTGAAATAACACTAATTAGTAAAAAGTTCTTTAATGTTCTGCAATCGTAATAAAGCTCCGTGGGAATGAGTTAAGCACCAATGATAGCAGTGGTTAGTCGATTCAATAAATCATGAACTGATCGAAATTAGGAATGATGATAGATGAATTTCAAAGCAACGATCTGATCATTGTGTAATTTCAGAAGAACCCGATGGTAGTCATTTTGCAATGGACGATTTTTTTACTTCAAATAGTTTATCTTATAATGCTATAGTTTTCAGCTGATAAGATTTCACACTCAATCTACGTATAAAGATTGTTTAGACATTATTAACAAAGGTGGATAACGACTAGCAGTGGAATCCAGGATGCACGTTTCACTCTGTTTACGACTAGTCAGCTAGATGTACCTGTATCTGAGAGTTCTTCTTCATTCTGGGACTCGAACCCAGTGCCTTTCACTTCAAACGCCATCGCATTATCCACCTAACTACTGAATACAGAAGATTTAAACAACCAATACAAATGAATTAAACTTCAACCCATTGCATAAGTGAGTGGTTATTTAGACTAAGATTGATCGATTCAAACAAAATGATCAATGGAAAAATTCAAAAGACCAATACAAATGATTTGATACTCTATACATGTTTCTAATACTAGAACTTTTAATAACCTTTTAAACTTCAGACCAATCATGACACTGATAATAATATAGATAATTATGCATTATAGTAATCTGGCAATCGATCGGTCAAATAAAGTCAATTTTATTTTAAATTAATTTATTCGAATGTGCTGTGACCAATACCCTACCAATCAAAACATCAATAATAACGCAGTTGAAATTGATTTAATAAATGTGTTCTAGTATAAAATGAAATATATATAGTAGGTTTACTATCTGCTTTATGTTATTGTAAAAGTGTATGTGAATGCAGAGTGAATGACGACTGCATGTACTAAGAAAGTTTTATTATTTGGCGAAGCTAGCGAATTAGTTGGTTGCAAAGAAATTACCATACAATTTCCTACATTGTGTACTGATAAAACTTTGAAAGATATTATTACTGAACAATTGGACAAGTACATTAATACAAATAATATTCATTAATCAGATTGAAACCTATTAAGGACTCTCTAGCAATTGCAGTGAATTGGAATTATACAGATATTAATACAAGTTTAAATCAAATATCTATTGAAGATATTGAAGAAATCGCTATTTTACCACCGATTAGTGGAGGTTAGAAGACAGCTTTAGCTCAAAAAGAAACCATATTATGGTAAGTAGTTTTAACGAAATTTATTGTTTATACAAAGAACTCCCGATATTTCATCAAAATATCTACTGAACCAATTCAATATTCCACTGTATTTGATTTAATTAGTGATTCTTCTGTTGGTGCTGTTTCCACATTTTTTGGTAAGATAGAAAACAGTTAAAAAAACTCATCATTCATTAATATTATTATTATTCGACAACTTTCAATCAACATACTTTTTATTTTCTAGGCATCATTAGAAAATATGATAGAGAAGGAGTAGTTGTACAAGCTTTGGACTATGAATGTTATTTGAAAATGGCTTATTTAGAAATGGAGAGGATTATTCAAAATTCTTACAAACTATGGCTGTCATTAGTACATGTCGTTGTATTTCATAGATATGGGTAAGAAGTCTGTGAATTTTTCTTCAATAATATGCATCAAAAACTTAATGAATAAATTTTATTGACTGAAGGAAAAATTAAGCCTTTAGTTGGAAAGAGATTTTATGGTTGTTTTGGTGGTGAAAGTAGGCTCTATGGTACATGCCATCATTATTATTACATTATTAACACTATGATAACTTTAGACTTTTAAAAGTTATCATATTAGTCAAATGTTAGTTGGCGAAAATCATTGAAGCTGCTGGTAACCAACACAAATATGCACAAGATATATTATCAAGGCATGAATCACAATGATCGGATCGCAGCCAGTGTTGAATAAGCCGAAAATAAAAGAATAACTCTCTTAATAAAAGACTTTAAAGTGAGAAGATTTTCTAAATTTCAAACAGTTTGAGTTAGCCTTTAGGTGGTGTTCATCGACATACTCTAGCAAAGAAGTGACAAAAACTTAATCCCATAGACATCTTCACACTTTCATACATATGGACATGAGGCTGTTGTTTCACTTTGATGAAGAAAATGATTTTTGATTTTGACAGAATTTTAAATGATGTGAATTAATACGTATTAGTAAAGGTATTCGATTTCCTGTTGGTGTTCTTTAGGTATATAAACGATCAGTTTCCATTACCATAAATGGATCCTGGGCGATTTACCTCGATATAGAGTTTTGCTTTGAATTTTAGCATATTTTGTAAATGACTGTTAGTGGGATACAGGATAGTTTAGTGGTCCGGAACCTGACTCCAATTTGAATGAACATCTAGACGTGCCATAAAATAAATCTTTCATCCAATTTCCGAACCCTCTTTGTGAGACAGTGGTAATAAAAAGCCGAATACGGATTCAGTTGGATAAGTTTATTTCACACAGTTGTTCACATAGACGGATATGAAAAAAAATGAGGGAAAGCGAAGCGAAGTGAATAAGGCGAGTGATTCAACTCAGTGCGATGAGGCATGACCAAGTATTATTATTGTCAGACAAAAATAATCTAGACAAGTGATAAGCGAAGTAAGCATACATAATATATAAACGAATAATTTACATGTTTGAAAGTCACGTGAATAATGTCTCCGAAGGAACAGATCAACTAGTTTGTTCAAAGGCTGGGACAAGCCAGGAGGACTCGAATTATAAGTGCACACTACAATGAGCATTCCATCCTATAAATATGGTGACTATATTGAGACAATCAGATAAAGGTTCACGGATGGCAACATAAATTGATCTACATCAATCATTCTTTTAAAATATTGGATATCTGCCGATGTGGTGCACCATATACTTTACATGCTTGTAATATTCTGTAATATTAGTTAAAAACATATGAAATAGTTACTTACTTAGGCTGAATGGATCGTGTCAGTAGTTGAACTCAAGATATCCGTTTCATTCTATCTGGGATGTGACTGCATCTCATTGTTGATGTTTACACTTAGACTAAAATCCAATCCCTTCCTCTTCAAACACTTAAGACTTTGTGTACTGGGATATTGAATTCAGATGATCTATAACTTGTTCAAAGTGAATGATGTTGAACACCATTTTTAGTTAGAGTTTAAATTATTTCATAGTTAATACTTTTGACCAGTTTAAAATGAAAAATACTGCGTTCAGGCACAAATTTGAATATCAACAATAGGATGATGGCACACCGTGGTAACGAATCGGAAATAGAATGGAACAGAGGTTCTGGATTCCATTGCTAAACGGAATTTATGAAATTGCTATTAATATTTCCAGTTTCTGTTTCATAAACTATCGATGAGTAATGCGTTAGTAAATATGTAGGAGTAAAATCTTGTCTGTAAACTGAGTTAGCTAGTTTGCTATCTTGTAGCTAAGTTGACATATGCAGACAGATTTTACACATTGAGAGATATTGTCACCAAACTGTTTGTTACCCGACTGGCAGAAGTTAAAAATAACTACAAATGGATTGCTAAGTAATTACTCAAGTCAGATAATTTGTTTACTATCTAAAGTTATTACAAAAGGTTTTGAAACAGTGTTAGACAAATATTATACATAATGTTTAAGTTATAACTGTTATTTCATATGTATTTTTAATTTAAATACATACCTCTTAACAATATGCCATATATGAACCTCAAATTCATTTTGACTGAATGCTTAGTTTCGATGAATTATTGGTGAATATGATCCCAACGCACACTGAACAATAATGCGTCAAATTTTTTAAAGTTATAAGTATTAGATTCAAATCTCATTGTGAATATTAACACCAAGATATACATATATCTGATTGACAAGACTCAAATAGGAGGAAAAGTGTAGTCTAGTGTAGTGTGTGTACAATTATGTCGAGCACAGAGGACTTTCCCCAGCATTTGGGCAAGTTAATTAATCCATTCTAGAGTGATCCAGACGTACTTCAACTTCGTCATTTATTCGCCTATGTCTTGGCTGTTTCTGTTTAAGTGCGTATCAGCATTCTTGATTCGCTTACCGCACTTTAGGCTAATTTATGTCAGACTATAAATAGTTAGTCATACGTCTCTCACTCTCCTCCACCTCGTGTTCTTCTGCTACGCACTTACGCTTCTCATTCTGTTGTGTCTGTCTAGATGAATGTATAATATAAATCCGTCAGCAAAACCGTATTCGACTTTTGAGCACCACTGTCGCACAAATGGAAAATAAATGAAAGATTTGTTCCATAGGATATCTAGTCGTTCATCGTAACTGGAGTTAGATCAAAGGCCACCAAAATAATTTTCACTGTTAAACACTATTCAGAAAATATGATTAGAATAGTTACGCCGTGAATATCTGAAATGAAACTGTTTATATCATACAACAGCTATTGACTTCTATTTCTTCAATGAAATAAGAGTTTTCGAACACTAACTGTAAACAATATTTATGTTGATTGTACTTCTGTACTATTCTCATTATTTATATTCACCTTGTTTAGATTAATTCCTGCTGGAGAGATTGGCATTGCAATCGCTGTCAGTTCACCACATCGTAAAGATAGTCTTGATGCTGTGAAATTTATTATCGACTCAGTTAAATCACATTTACCAATTTGGAAAAAGGTAAATTGACATGCAGAGTATAAATGCATAATTCTCTCTTTCTTTCCTTCTATTGTTATAATTAAACAGGAAATTTATGAAGATGGTACATCGAAATGGAAAAGAAATAATGAATGTTTCTGGTTATGTGAAAACAAATAACTAATTATCAATTAAATCAGTGTAAACAACTAAACTATGCAGTAAATATTCTCTATTGAAATACATGTTACTGCTATGAATTCATATTGCAAATATTATAATTACTCTTTATGAAATACTCAAAATTATGAGCATATTTTTTATGTGAGTATTTATTTAATAAACAAGGTTGATTGTTATGTTTAAAGAATTTGAGTGGAAGCACGTATTATCAGTTATTGATTGCATATTCTATTATAAATCTTTTATGAAAGCTCATAAATACGTAGATCTACAGATTATGCAGTGAGTAAAATATGATGAATATTGTTAAACAATAAAAATGTGAATACAAACTGACAGATTAACTGATCTTTGATTCAGTGAAGATAAAATTAGTGAAAAGGTATCGCAGAGAAGCTTGATACATTATTTGTTTATGCCACTGTTATAATGTTAGCGTTAATCACTAAAAAGCTCACTCTCAATAATCCTAGTTATAGACCAAAACAGGAGTTTATTATTGCAAATTACAAAGGTCAAAAGTATATTATGCAATGTGAATACGTGTTATACTAGACATATGTGTTTGCACCCTTTGACCAATCACAAGTCGTTCTAGTTAGACATTTCAATCCACAAATTTTCACTACTTTTGTTGGGTTCCAAGTGTTTACATAATAAGTTTTGCAAGTCATGGGAATTATGTGTTGATCGAGAGAAATTAGAAAAAAAAACATGGATATTATTTGTCTAAAAATATATGTGAATTCTACAAAAGACTTCCACTAATTAATTTATTTAAACTTTTATGGCTCTCATTAAAATTAAGACGATATTGCTACTACTGAAAATTCGTAATATTTTTAATAAAGTAGAGCATAATGGCACACCTAAAGTATATTGTAAAGAGACCTTGAGATTGCTAGCCGTTTTAGCTAACCAAAAAGTAGCAAATGTTCATAATTAGGTTATATTGACAAATGAGAGACTTCATTCAGAAAATACTGATTTAAAATGATTCATGAACATTCAAGCTAAACCACAGGTTACTAACACTTTGGATCATACGTGAGGATTGAAGTTTAAATTAAGAAATTAAGGTTAGTCTGTGTATATCATCCAAACCCAAAGAGCTACTGACAACACTAATCCTAAGCCTTAATTACAGACTCTGTTTTTAACCATGATCCTAAGCCTAAACCTGACTCTTAACCTTAAGCGCTTATTCTGATTCACTCTTCATACTACCTTGAATCCTCTCTTCAATCTCAACCATAAAAAATTCTTTGCTAAAATATCCCACTAATTCTTATTTCTTTAAAATATTCACAATTCTTTCAGTCCTCCATTCACAAGTGATTTGGCAAAAGTCTAAATGATGTTTTATTTACTGAAATTAAATACAATTCAGTTATTATTCAAACTTTTGTTTTGATATTTACATTGTGATTTCGAATGGGCTTCATCAATCTCGATTAATTCGCCAGTATACTATGGGTTAATCAAAAACTTTACTAAAACATTATGTTATTTCGTTACAAAAGCCGCATATTTTATTCGTTCGTAAAATATTCGTTATTGTTCTAGGCAACATTTTCACAATGAACTTCCGAATGAAATGAATCATTCGAATTAATCATATCAAACTGAAAAACAAGCAGTAAATTAAACATGCTCAATCTCATTACAATTATTCAAATTGTCACTCCACTATGATGATACATTTTCATATCTAATTAATTTCATTCAGAAAGGTTGTAAGCAGTTGATATGAGCCTAAAAGAATCCAAATCAATTCACGTCATTCTACTCAATTCTTTGTTTATACTGTAATGCCTCCACATATATTCCAGTTCGCTTACATCTAACTTCGTTAAGCCATTTCGATTAATTTATTTAACTAAGCCATTTATATTGCAACAATTTATATGTACCATTCGTTATTAGTATTGTCTGGTTTGTATGAGCTCACATGACGTGTCCCACTTGTCATTTGACCTTGTCAACTATTCGTCACTTTTATTCATGTGTGCCTATTCGCTTGTCGTATGTCTTCTGTCTTATATTTGTCTGACTATATATTCTTAGTCATGCTCTATCTCTCGGAATTGGCTCGTTAGCCTTCTCCAACGCACTTTTACGATTCACGTCGCTTCTTTTGTTTTATTTACTGCTTCTTAGCTTCGCTTTGTGATGTGTCCAAAAATAAATGTATTCATCACTACGAGTTCACCTGATTTATAAACTGTCAGACGCTAGTTAGTAACGATTGTCTGGACGAGCTAATTACGGAGATTAAGAACACGCAGTAAATCGGCACACTACAATACTTCTTTAAAAAGTATAGATATTAGGTTAATATGAGTATATTTTACGTCATTGTAAAGGAATTCCTTGTAAAATCACTTTTATTTTTAAATCATGAACTTTATTGAACTATTAAGAGAGAATTGTTTTTTTTTGTAAATATGAATTCACCTACAACACAAAATGGCCTCCGTGTTTTTTTCAAAATTCAATGGACCATAAGTTTTTATTTTTTAACAAAAAAAAAATGAAATAAATCCTACTAAGGAATGTACAAATTGTAAAGAAAGTGTACAATATCATTTCATTATTCTGTTTGTTTATTTTAACAAATATTATTTAATCAGTAGGGAAAATTTCAGAGTCTTCTGTATCAGATACATAAAGTTTTTCACCAGTATACCTTTGTGGTTCAACCAATAATGGTTCAGCTGATAAAGCAATTAAATCACGTGGTTCAAATTGAACTAACCAATCTTTTCTAGGATGTTTATCAAACATAACTGGAAGATATTCATCGACAGCAATTAATTTTTGCAAAGGTTTTTGATTAATTAATTTTTCTGCACCACTTTTATTCAATATATAACCAAGTGTCCAATAAGTATAATCAGGATAAGTTAAACTAGTTGTATTCGGTACACGTTTCTCTGATTTTGACATTCTTTTACGTCCAATATATAGTAGATCCCAATTCAAAACATTTTCATCTGCTTCTTTAATAACTTTTTTTAAATTACGAACAAAAGCGGGAGCAAAACGTAAATCATCTTCAAGAATTAGTATACGATTATAACCATTGTTGATCATCTCCTGAAAATAAAATAATTAAAAAAATAAATTAACTTTATGTCAACGTATTCTAACATTCGAGACATAAAACAGGAAAGATTAATTCTTTTTCCAATTAGATTTATGGGTATTAGTGTTTCCACATATTTGAAATCATCAATCAATCATTGTTAGACCACCATTAGAAACCTGGAAGCACTGGACGGCCATTTCGTCCTGGTATAAGATTCATCAGCAGTGAGAAGACTTGACCAGTGAAGTTCAACCTTGTCGGGCGTAGGCAGTAACTACCAAAGACAAATGGTTGAGGCCGCGCAAAATCCCTAGATCAATCAGAGTTAGACATTAACACAATTCAGTACCGGCCAAGTGGTCCAAAGGTGAGGCGTTCGTGCGCAAGACCGAATGTCTCGGGTTCGAATCCTGTGGGGTGTAGGAGTCGCAGATGTTCACTGCTCATGAGTCCCATACCAGGAAGAAACGGCCGTCCAGTGCTTCCAGGTTTCTAATGGTGATCTAAAAATGATTGATTGATGATTTCAAATGTGTAAAGATTAGTTCACCAAAGAGTTTACTTTTCGACTAGTTTATTTTCAAAGCTGTAAGATCACAAATATATACTTTTTTTTCATGTGGTGATAGTAATAATGATAATAAACAGTTTGCTAAACCTGGAGATAGTGAGGTAAATTAGATACAGACCAAAAACATTATTTTGATTAATGAAATTAGTTTTGTTGTTGTGAGCTTGAATATTCATCATGAAGATTGATAGTGAAACTATAATCAGAATAGGGAGGCTCAGCGTGATAAGATAGAATGTTTAAATTAAGATAGACTGTTATCAGGAGGATCATTGCAGCAGAAACAAATCACTTTAGAATAAAAGATCCATAGAAAAGTAGAAAAAAGTTAGGAAGCAGATGGATGATAGAGAAGAAAGAACTGTATACGACACATCAAGACCATCGTAGAAGAAGTGATTACGCCAGTTTCTTCTGTAAACGTATTTTTGATTTTCTCAGATGTATAGCGAATGCTTTAGAAATGCTAATAAAATAACAACCGACTTCCTTTAGCAACCTTCTACCTAGATGAAGAATCCGTTTTGATCAAATAACCTATTTATGGTGGAATTTCGTTCCATCAGCTAGATAGTTTGGTTGTGGAGTGATATGTTCGGCACTTAGTAGTATGCTTGATGCTATTACGAGTTTACCTTAGTCGATAAACGCGAACAATACTTCTACCAGCTTCCAGGAAGGCTGCCTTGAATCCCAGAATCGAAATAGAAGACTTTGTAGGCGTAGAAGTATATTCTACAAGCACCCAGCAATCCCAGTACAATCAAGCATACAACTCTCGTTTATTTATACAACATAACAACGTCCTTGAGACAGTTAAGAAAATAGCATACTAAAATACACTGTAGCCAATCACAGCCATTCATTTTCCTGGTGGGGATTGAAATCTCAAGGTCATTTGATCAGCCCCTGCTGGCGAGACGTGAAAACCAAAATACGGCATTATCAAGCGAATTTTTGGGGATCTAACATCCCCAACATGGAGCTTACATTGTCCTTCAAAACAACATCATTAGCACAAACCTGAGGTAGAAGTAGGACTAGAACTCATCAATCTATTCTTAACAACATATTTGCCATTCAACAACAAAATCTACGAATAAACGAAAGGAATACCAATCGGATCACCAGTGTCAGAACTTAATTCAGAAGTTCTAATGCAAAGACTAGAAACCTCAATTTTACCAGTGATCAAGCGAAAGATGTGGATTGGTTGTGTCTATAACAGATTCGTTATCACCAAAAAGGAACAGGCCCGAAAACACTCATAATCTAATCAACAACGTCTTTGATGACATAAAATCCACAAATGAAAAGGAGTCAAACTATGAATTATCATGCCTAGATGTATTAGACACCAGTAAATCGTAAGCCAGTCCATGTGGATCTAGTTCGCGACTACAGTCTCAACAACCCAACAACTCACAAAATCAAATGCGTCGTTTAAATGAGCAGAAAAAAAATACAGCACGGATAAATGAAGAAAAATATCTGATAACCATTTTTCAATAAGAACAGCTATCCACACAAATTCACCACAAATCATCAAACTAACTTATCAGCAGAAGTGAAATCAAGTACTCCAACCAACAAACGGATTAACCTGTCATGTATAAAAGACATGAGAAATCGCTACGAGATTAATGAAGCCATTTGGTATAGATGTAGCACAGAAACCAACAAAATCACTTCAATCAATCCAATGTAAACCAAAGGACAAAATGGCAAAAGAAGAAAAACCGAACATAATCTACGAAACAAAATGTTCAAACTGCGAAAAATACGACATTTGACAAAGTGGATGTCCCCTTCAGTTTTGCCTACGTGAACATCCATTAGCAATCAAATTCTATGTCACATCTTCCCTCATATCAATACATATGGACAATTGTGGACATACATTCGATTGGAAAAATGTTGAAATACTGAATAGAGGGAATATAAAGAATACCAGAGAATTTTTACAAGCTTAGCACTCAGATCAGTCATTAGTTAACACACACACACACACACACATCGACACTGATCCAATTTATCAACCAATCAGGAAAAATTACATATAACTGATTAAATATCTTCATAGCAAGAATTTGGTTAACTAAAATTTTAAGGTGTTAGGAAACTTCATATCAATAATTTCTGTTAAGAAATAACTTTATATTATTATACAACTGAATACCACACCACATGTATTATCGATTGGTACGTGAACCTTGTTTCGGTATAGTTCATTTTTAGACGACTACATTACAAATTCTGGTAACTTGTATCAGATATTATTGATCAGTTTAAAATTTACATTTTTTTGCACATAACGTAATTGAAACCAAGAAAAAATTAGTTCTGTAAGTAAAGATATCTAGTAGTCTGTGATAACATCCAGGAAACGCCAGCTTGGTATACCTGAAGGATTCAACTCCAGTGCTTTTTGCCCCGAACACCCGATGCGTTACCCACTGAGCGATTGAATCCAGTTAGCCATTAGCCTATGTAACATAGACGAATGTTATCATTTATTTATAGGTGTTCGAATCTTATCATTTGTTTTCAGCGTATTCTTTGGCTAATTTCTAAAAAATATTTTTCTCTTTACATCGTTAGAACAATGTAAATTCAGGTTTTTTAAAAAAAATGAGTGTGATACAAGTAGTATTTATAAATGAATATTTGAAATGTCAGCAAACAACATGACCAATCTAACAGTTTGTTTAAATCGTTATAATAACATTCTTTAACTGTTTGTATAATAAAATGATTCTTTCTCATTTCCAATTTGTTCGATTTAACTCATGTAGTCTGGTAACCATAGTATATATTAGTTATGTTTTCAAAAGGAGCTTGAAAATTTATCACTATAGTAAAAGTTGTAGAACTCGTTTTTCTGCTTATCTATCCTTCAAGAGAAAAACGTATATGTACGATAGGATTAAGATATCTGGAGTAAAATATGAAAAGTGTACAAAACTTCATCTATGAAGAAAATATATTATTTTACAATACCCTGTACTGAGAAGTTAACACGAATTCAAAAATCAAACCTAGAAATAATAAGTTTTTAATTTCCGTATATTTAATGTTCAGATAATAAACTTGTTTGTTTATCTCGTATTCGAGAACATGGTCTATTGATTAGTTAGTTTCCTTATTAAACTCTTACCACGACAGGAATAATACATTCAGAAAAAACTAGAATTCTTTAAGATGACTGAAAAATCATAGATTGTTCAAATAAAGAAATTAAAAGTTATTTAATAAATTCACTAACAACTTTTGGGTTTTTAAAAGCTTTTAAAAAAATTCCCACAGTTCACAATGCTTTACAAGTTCGACTAAAGAGGTTAAGTACACAAAAATATCATCTTATGAACATCTAGCGACTAAATGCAGTTTTAGCATTTTTCGACTGTGATCATCATCATCAGCAGCAACTTGGAACTTCGTACGTAGGTACATCAGTTCACGTTTCCATACCACGTTAGCACAGAGATGCGATCGTAGAGGTAGTAGAGGTAGTAAAAGTATTAGAAGTAATCAGAGAGATTAGGGTTCGAAGATGTTATTCAAGAAGTATAATTCAGTGAGGTAAATTTAGAAAGAGAAAGATAGAGGTGATGAGGAATTCGGAAGCATTGCTTATTCGGTTGTCCCACGATACAGGAACAATGTTTCGGAGGCACCTATGATCAAAAACCAGTAACCTACGAATGTCCTCTACTCTGACTTGCCATGTTTCACAGCCATAAAGTAGGACGAACCGAACTGCTGCGCAGTACACTCATGCTTTGGTCAGCAAACGACAGTGAAATTTTTACTCAATAAGTTTTTACTCTCTAACAAATTCTGAAAAAAACATTGAGTGTTGACGATCACTGTGTTTTTCCAAGCTATAAAAAGGAGTTCATCTTTAAAACTATAATTTGGTAATAATAAATACATTTTAAATTTAAAATGAAGTATTATAAATTTATTAACTGAATTAACTACAGAAATCGACTTACAGTCCATATGTTATAATGACTTAAAAAGCAACCGATCTCTCCAAATTTTATCGATCGATTATGATAAGGATCTGTATAACCTGGAAGTTGTTTAATTCCTAATTCATCACAATCTTTTATAGTTAACATTTTTCCGTCAACAGCTTCATGATGTTTCGCATTGATACCTAATTGATGAAACATATATTCCATTTTTTGTCGACGATCAGGGCGTCTTAATAAATTAATAAAATAAATTTCATCAAAATTTAATTTATCTGATTTCGGTAGCTGATTTTCAGCAATATGCAATAAACATTCCGATGGTAGAACTCTTTGTTTATCCTCTTGATCAATAATTGCTTGTAAACGTAAATGAACAAATAGATCTTGTTCACGTAAAAGCCATGCATGATTTAAATCTTGTGAATATAAACCAAGATCTTGTTCTTCAACCGGTGATGGTATATATCCATAAAATTGTGTATTATCTAAATAGAAATCAATTTCTGCACGTTGTACTGATCTAGAAAATATGATCATATCATCAATTGGTCCTGTATAGTTTATTGGTGCAGGTGAATAACCAATTTGTTCCGATTGATAAAATTGTAAATTAATTAAAAATATTGAATGTACCATAGCTACAGGATATATACCTTGTATACGACGTTTTTGTAAATCAAAATAATGCTCTGAACGTAAATAGTAGCATTCTTCAGGCATTGCTCCCCAAAAATTTGAATAATGTTCAGATGAGGTACAATTCATCAATGGTGCCAAAATTATTATATTTTCATCAGTTTTAGAATTTGTATTAGATTTCGATTCAAGCATGACATTTATTAAATGTTCAATAGTCAATGGATTCATAAGAATCACATCAGCATCAATAGATAAATAAAAATCAGCCCATAGATCACGAGCTTTATCTAATAATTTTTGACGTAAACTTATAACATGTAGATAATGATCAACAGTCCACATTTTACTCAAATTTTTATATTCTGACTCAGTTGTATTCGAATTTTCAGTTTCAAAAATTATTTTATGATATTTATCTTTGTTACATTGAATCCATTCATTCAATATTATTTCACTTGAATCAATTGTATTGTCAAGATAAAATATTAATATAATACGTTTAGTTGGATATTGTTGTTTTTCTATACCATTTAAGAAATATGGTAGAGTATGAGCTTTGTTACGAACTAACACACCAATACATAATGTTGGCGGCATTAAACGATTTGAATGTTGTTGCATTTGTAGGTCATATTCATTATTCAGCTCTTGATTGAAATCTTGATCATGATTTACATTGTCTGCATTCAATGTTACATATAATAAATTAGATGGTTTTTTATTATTACTCTCATTCTCATCTTGATTGAATTTATTTTCAAATGATGTAGATTTTATCAATACAATACATAGATAAAAGCATAAAATTAATGAACAAGATAGTAGAAATTTTTTATTCATCATATTGTAAAATTGTTGTGTGATGATAGTTTTAAATTTCTTCAGATTAGAAGTTTTCTGAATTAGTTCAGAATTATTCGACTGTTGAATTGTCGTCACTTTATTTGAATTGGAATTATGAGATTTGTTCTTGGTTGATATTTTTTGAAAGGTAGTAGTTCTCTTAGTCTTTTGATGTTGATGATGATGATGAAGATTTTTTTTACGCATATATATATATATATACACTGGTAAAAAGTTTTAGTTATAGGGTTTTGATTGAATAGTACAACTTCCTTTCAAAGATTTACCTACAGTAGAAATAATTTCTCTCTCTTCATATACAGTATGCCAATTCTATCCTTTTGCAAGGGAAAATTATCGACTTTTTGCACATGGAATTAACCAATAAGATTTACGTTCAAAACAATATTCTGTGCATATGATAAGAGAATTAAATGAAAACAGCCAATTGTTTGGCATGCAACACACACAATACAAGCAGTGTATGTATGAAACATTTTCTATCTAGACAACAAATATAAGAATTGACGAAAAAGTCATCTGTGACTAATCACCATCACTCGATCTGTTCGATTAGCATTGGCAGATTGAAAATTTTTCAATAAAAAGAATCAATTCCAGAAAGCAAACAGTTAAAAATGACACGCCGGTCAGAATTCAGCTTGATATTCTGTATTGAAAATAATTGTTTAGTCAAAAATCTTCCTGTTCTTTAGAAAAAAAAAAGTGTATTCAAAGTTTTGACTGTTTGGTTTGACCTGGGCATACAATAATTATGATAGTTTTTTAATCGAATTACGACAAGAATTACTGTAAATGCATTTTATTTGAATTGTTTATTGATAAAGAATTAACAAGCATGTTTTGTCAAAGAAACTGATTAGAAGCAACACCCATTCACGTAAATGAATGCTAATTTTGATTAAGCTATCTATCATGATAGATAAACGTATCTAAAATGAAACCGCGATTTTTTTTGAAACCTGTTAGTATGTAAAGTGAAATGACAGAGATTAGAAACATGAAACCATGAGCTTCAATTTTGTGATGTAAATGTTTTCTAATAATGAGACGGAAAAGTAATAGAGTTGGACGCGGATATGCACTAATGAGGTGTTCGAAATCAAACTGAAACATTTATTTAGTGATCACTAGTCCTCACTAATTATCAAGTTGTTTTTAGTCTTGATGTTAGAACTTCGCGCAGATTTCTCAACTTTACGTCACAAAGCACTAGACAGTTGTTTCGTCCCAGTATAGGACTACTCAGATGTGTTTATAAATGACCCCACTGGAAACCTGACCCATGATATTCATGTTTCACAGTGAGCACTTAATCTTTAGACCAGTGAGTCAGTATGTAATAGCTTACTTATCTAACTCCAATGACTTCGTGATATTGATCAACCGTTTCTCATCAACATTAGTAAGTAGTTGACTCTAATTCAACAGAGTTTATCTCCACTCATGACTGACTTTTCCCAGAAATGTTGGAATCAACTGATGAAGTTATTCACTAGTAATCAAGAAGACTTCTTTTACTTGTTATTTTTGGTTATTATTACTGTGATTAGTTTCGTGAGATCGCTGGATTTTATATTTTATGTTATGAACTGAATCTAGATAGTATTAAGGTGGCCAGTGTATGGCTAGTTTCTTGACTGTCGGTATCCAATGTGTTTTTAGACCTTGTAATTTGCTTGTCTAGACAACCGTTACTAAATAGCGCCTCACGGTTCATAAATCAGAAGGCGAATACGAGGTGTTGAATACGTTTGTTTGGCACAGTACAAACAGACCACAAACCTGTGCGAAAGACAAGCAAGCTAGCGAGTGAGCGGATTGGTGAATGAATTAATAAGATTAAAATGTACATATATACACATAGGAAAATGGATAAGTCATCGAAATATTTAAGAGGTTAACATTAAAGCGAGTAGGATGAATATTCACGTATGCGGTAAGCAATGTTCAGTCGTGTCAGCTCATATGAACCAGACAATAAATAATAAAAGCCACTGGTACATATAAGTAATTGCTATACAAATGGCTTGGTTAAATAAGTCAATCAAAAGACTCGACCAAATTAAATGTGAACGAATTCAAATGTATGTGGAGGCACTACAGTATGTTGTGATAATTTTCTTTTCATTTAATTTTATCCATTTCGTCAATAGATTATATTTAAACAGCGTTAGACCATTAACCAACATTACTTGGTAAACCACTGTCACATAGGAGCCTTTAGATTTATGCTTCGATTTACCGAAGGTTTTGTTTATCTAAATATATATAACCAACCTTAAGATCTAACTAAGGAACTTCGTTAAATACGAAGGAAATCTAAGTAAAATTAGACCAATGTCTAGTGATGGATTCTGACTTATTAGCTTAATACTGATACGTAAATAATAAGAACTAAGCTGATTTCAGTCTAATTATGGATAAGATAGAGAGGAAGGATAGTGGTTCGATGTTTCGGTCTAACGTGATAATCCAACAATCCTTAAGTTTTCTTGATTACTGTGAATGAAATCATCCCACACTAAAATTTCAACACACATAATATTTCTCAGTTATGTTAAACATTTCCACTTATTAGTCTTTTTAAAATACACATAATGAAGATAAATGAATAAAGCAACATGCTCTATCCTTCTGATAATATCTGTAAAAAGAACTCAAATTAAATGACCACTAACTACTCAAAAAGCTTATCATCACTAGTGGTTGAAAATATTGGATGATACAACTAAAAATCAGACGCAATGAAACAGATTCATCCACCTATAGTCGTCCCTTAGATATTAGGTCTTAAAACTATTTCATACTTTTTACTCGGAAGATTCTTTTTTTCTGGAATCATATCGTTTATGCCTGGCCTTTTCCGCTGCCAGAAATAGAGAAAGACATGAGAAGAATGAACATAAACTGGAAAGGGAAACCCAGGTCAGAGTTGGTCGGAGAAAACTGGTGGGTGGCCTATGCTCCATTAGGGGTAACAGGCGTAACTAAGTAAGTAAGTAGGTTTTCTGCTGCCATAGACCCAAATGTGGCAAGTTATACGTTACTGATGACTAGAAGAAATAAATTTTGTTTAATGGTCGATAAATGCTTATTTCACAAATTCAAACTATTCAATAGATTACGGCATTTTCAAGTTGTTTTTAATTTGTTTATTGAAAATAAGTATATTTCTGGTTATTGTATCAACAGAGTTGAATGTTTAAGACCTTAAACACCATAGACAAGGAATGCGATTTTATTGTAAACCTACTGATTTTAATAAGAGATCATTATAACAAATTGAATTTAATTATTATTCAATGAATCGAAAAATTGTTAGGATATAAATGAAAATTTGAAACTAAGAAATATAATATTTATCTAGTGTTAAAGTTTCTGAAGTCGATAGATTTTATCTTACTACTTTTATCATCCTTTATAGATATTATCAGTAGAAGTGAACAATGACAATGTTTTCGTAAATAACTTGTTATATATTTTCTAAGGAAAAAAATTAGTGATTGAATAAAAAGTGATTATTGATTATACAACTAAATTTATTCTGTTATTTGTGTAAATACATGTATGACTATAGTATGAAGGTGAATAATTTAAGAAATTTGACGAAATAAAATTCAACGTTAACAATTTTATTTTTCTTACAAATTAGACTAGACTATACAATAAAATTTACTGAAAGTTGTTTCATGTAATTAATTTTGAGCAACTAAACTAACAATCATATCTTGTTGTTACTCAATATTGGAGTATAGGCCACCGACAAGCATTCTCAAACCTACTCGGTCCTGGGGTTTCCTTTTCAGTTCTACCCAATCGTTGTTCATTCTTTTCATGTCTGCCTGAAATTCGCAGCACAATGTGTTCTTTGGTCTTTCCCTTTGGCCTTAAGGATCCCAAGTTAGGACTGGACTTGTGACGCAGTTGGGTGCTTTCCTCGATGTGTGTCCTACCCACCTCCGGCACTTTTTGTAATTTCTGTTCTCTCCCACAGCAGGTTGCTGCTGATAGCATATATTATTGTACTAAACTAAATAACGTGCAGTTGGATTTCAAAATAACTATCTACAGTTGGCTTGGAATGGATAAAATGTAGTTAGCAGTGAAATCTACAACGCGCTTTCTGTTAACTCGATTCGCAATGGATATATCAAGGCAATCAGCATAGGATACAATCAGTCAGTCAACAAGAACATAGAACATCGTACGTACGTACATCACTTCAAGTTGCCATACCACATTAGCACAGAGATGCGAGTGTCACTTCAAATCTCATAGTAGTAGAGGTAGTGAAAGTATCAGCAGTAATCGGAGAGATTAGGGTTCGAGGATAGTATTCAAGAAGTAGAATCTAATGAAATGAACTTAAAAGACAAAGATAAAGTTGATGAAGAATTCAGAAGTTTACGAATTGAGAGAATACAAAGAATGAATGCACCTGCGACATTACAAACGATTTTGAGCCATGTCATTCAGGGTCTCTAACCATCGATTACCATCATCTCGCGGACCGGAACCAGGTAGCCTACATCTACCAACGTGACTCAGTCCACTTGTCAGTGACTTCATGGATTTCTGCCAAAACTTGCCAAAAAAAACGCTAACCAGAAAAAATAATTCAAACCATTTTAACTCTGCCCCGGCAGTTGGGAGAATTAGGACATCGCGTGATGAAAGCCGAGTTCCCTCGGAAGTCACGGGGCCGATGCCTCTTCTGACAACCAGAGCAACCATTCTTTTAGGTACATGGAACGTTCGTACATTGTGGGAAACTGGAAGACTATTTCAAGTTGCGGCAGAAACGAAAAGATACAACCTCGAGGTGCTCGGTATCAGGGAAACGCATTGGACACAGGCAGGACAACTGAGACTAGCTTCAGGAGAACTGCTTTTATACTCTGGTCATGAAGAGGAAAATGCTTCACATACACAAGGAGTTGCACTGATGCTGTCCAAACATGCACAAAAGGCACTGATAGGATGGGAATCTCATGGGCCCAGGATCATTAAAGCATCCTTCAAAACAAAGAAAGAAGACATTAAAATGAACGTCATCCAATGCTATGCACCTACCAACGACTACAATGACGACGTTAAAGATCAATTCTACGAAAGGCTGCAGTCAATCGTCGAGAAATGTTCACCAAAGGATTTGACGATTCTTATGGATGACCTGAATGCCAAGGTTGGAATGGACAACACTCGATATGAAGACGTCATGGGACGACATGGACTGGGAGAAAGGAACGAAAACGGTGAGAGATTTGCAAACCAATAGGCCTTCAACAAAATGGTCATCGGTGGCACAATATTTCCGCACAAACGCACACACAAAGCTACATGGATTTCACCGGACCACACTACTCAGAACCAAATCGACCATATCTGTATCAATGAAAAGTTCAAAAGGACCGTGGA